TATAAGCTATTGGTGTCAAAATAATTTACAAATTTCTATAATAAAAAATGTAATGAAGAATGAAAACATTGGCTTCGGGTCAAATTGTCCCGAACAATGAACGAGGATTAATCAGTGTCAAAGTTAAGCAACAAACATCGCAGGTGTTTCTTGGAAAAACTTTCGAATAAATTTAATTAAAAAAGGCTAGAGACGAGATACAATCGAGCATATTCTTTCGTTTGCGTGAACACGTGGAATCAATTAAATACACGTTTATATTCACAAAAACTTACCAGAATTCGATTCATCGAGTCGTTGAAACGATCCACGATAATCCAAGGTTTAAGGAGTCACGATAAAAAGAGAAATAGTTTCGAACGGGTCGACGTGTATTAGGCGGGACGAACGACAAGGTCGAGGCCGGAAGAGGGGCTCGATGAGAGAGAGAGAAAGAGAGAGAGAGAGGGGGAGAGGGTGTGAGAAACTAATCGAGATTCTAATTGAGTTGTCACTGTAATCGCATCTTCGTCGATAATTCCATACCAGATAGAATATGTCCACAATTTGGTATCTCATATCCGTTAATTAAACTGAAAACTTCCGAACCAGAGGGATGACGGGGAATATTCTTGTCGCTTTTAGGCGATCGAGTAGAAGACGGGCGACCGCGAGGTGTGCATGAGAAAACGAGGAAGGGGCGGGGGAAAAAAATAAGGGGGGGAATGGAATTATCGACAAGCAGGAAATTGAAACAGAAATAATTGAGTGTAAAGAGTGGCGAAGGCAGCAGAGCGAGTGAAGAGGAAAATATCAAGGGTAAGGTGTCGTTCAGGGAGGGATAAGTAAATGATAAGTGAAAGTTTATCGAAAGCTGGCGGGATCAAGCGTGAAGGAAGTAGGATTTTCAAACAATTTTCAATATACAGAATTTTGTAATTAAAAGAGTGTTCAATTTTCTTAAGAGTACTTAAAAATCTTATTGTCAAATATCTCATACTTTAAGATATCCCCGCGATTTTATATCTCGTTCCCGTAACGTCGCTTTTTTCTCGTGAGTTCGCGGTCGACTTTGTTACTACTTTTCTTATGGTGCCACCCACACATCTCCTCACGGGCGCTTCCACTTTTCCCAGTCACGTAAAAACGGAACGCCAATAGCTGTCGAAGAATTTCTGATTTATCCAGGGGATAAATCGTCAAATGAGTGGATACAACTTCGTCAAGTATTGACAAAGTGGTGTTCCTGATTTCTGGATTTGTGAAGCGTTTCTTCCCTAGCTGAAGAAAGTAAAACCGTAATACTTGTTTTATACTTCTTCCTAAATTCGACCGAAAGGGAGGGAACATAATAATCCTCACTGTATTGTGATTAATGTTTCCTCTATATAATTTCTTCAGATAATACCATAAGTTAGGTGATTTTTCTGAGAGTTGAATGTGAAACAGTAAAAATCAACAGGATCATAACTTAATAATCCACTACATTTTGTCAAATCTCACATTAATTTTTCAGAAAGACTGTGATACTCTAGTGAAATGCATCGTCCGTATCGATTACCTTCCGTTACTTTTACGAAAAAAAAAAAAACGGCTGGAACATGTTTTGAATTCAAATTATATTACAATTTTATTACTTATTGGTACACTTAATATACAGGGTATCTCAGTTCAGGTAATACAAACGGGCTGGAGCTGATTCTATAAGAAAAAATAAGTCGAAAAATATGGAGTTTGGAGAAATAAGTTCCTCGTGAAACAGGAAGTATGGAAGCCAGGATATTTCACGGACACCGGCAGTGAAACTATAACGAAATCTTTCCGAGCTTGCGACTCGGGACTCAAGTAAAATGAGTTAGGTATCCGCGATGGGTCGTACAAAACGAATTACAAACTCGTCGGAAGTTCGGCAATAGAAGCGCGGCCGTGGACTAAGAATCGGGAAGCGGAATCATTCACTGCTTCTACCTCGACATTTCATTCTGAAGGGAGACCAAATGCTGAAGGTGGAGCAGAAAGAAGTTGCCGTATAAATCTTCCAATGAATCGCAAGATCAAATATTTTTCCGCAAACATCGAATATTTATGACCGAAGTTATTATTCTATTATGGGTGTGAATGAAAATTCCTGCTTTCATAGAGTGTTTCGCAGAACTCGGAATCGAAGATAAACTTATTTCACTAAGTAACGGATTTATTGAGATAATTAAGTAATGGCTTCGTTAACATTTGTTAATATTTTTGCTTGCCAATTTTTGACAGATACTTTCAAATATTTCATAGAGTTATACAAACGAGAGTTAATAATATGTTGTCCGTAAAGTTGAAGGCCGAAAATGATATCATAAAATAACTTAAGTAGAAATGGACTGCGAAGTTGTATGTAATCAGACACACATTTACTGTCTATTCAATATAAAGAACAGAGATTTTTCAGGAGTTTCAGTTCACTTTTATTATTTTTTTAATATGTATTGTTAATGATTATAATTTGATTTCCCAACATTATTTACAGAGTCCTATTTTTGATTGAATGCTATCAGAGCATGTTTCCGTTTTATGTGTTCCGCCGCATTCACAAATATTCTCTTTCGCGAATTTGCGTGCAATCTATTAATTACTCGCGCGGGAACACAGCCTGAGTGCGGTGGAGGGAAGGGCGGAAAGAGTTTCGCAATTTCAGCAGTGCCCCGTTGGAAAGCCAGTGTGGAAAATGAAAAAACAAACATATTTTCGCCGGCTGTTTCCTTAACTCGGCCCAACTGGATTTTGCTTCAAATATTTCACCCAGCTTTACTTCAAATATTTCAGCGCCCGGATTGCGAGTGTCAGGCTCTTCTCTCCTATTGCCTTCCCTCGCAATCTCTGCTTTACAATTTCTGTGATCACAGAGGGAGAGGGGTGGAGTCAGCGAATTATTCACCGCCTTTGTCATGTAACATTCAAATTTTTTTTTCCTATACTGCAACAATCAGAATATAAAGCTCACACAATCCACGATACGGAAATCAAATGAACAAAATTTATTGAATCGTTAAATTTGAACATTTTCCCCTTCAGACGACACGGCTAAATATTTGACTAGTTGTTTCATATAATTCTAAAATCTATTAACGACGATGTAGCTTCAATGTTATCACGATACACGGAGTTGATTAAATATTTGACCAGGTGTGAGTAAATTTGCAAATGTACATCTCGTGTGTGAATGTGTGCGTTATACAAAGCCGTGTATCGAAACGGGGTTTCATTTGCATGAAAGTAATCGAATCGTAAATTGTCGACACGAATTTTTCAGTCGTATTGTAAACGCTTCCTGAACGAGTTTGCAAAGTGACACCAAATTCACCAATTTCGGGGGCGAATGTGTCGATGGTATCAAAGCAGGGCCCATTTATGTGTAATCCAGGGATTCCCGGGAAACTACGATCTGCACATAACTTACGTGTAATCCTGGGATTCCTTGGAACGACCCAGAGTAAAAATCAACCGTACTTGGTGGGGACACTTGTGTAACAGGAAGCTTGAGAAAATTCACAGTGAGCAGAAGCAGTCGTTTTAAAGTTTCACGGCTTTAAAATTGCTCTGCGACGATTCTCGTTCTACTTTCATTAGGAAAGTTAAAGAATTATAGCTGTAACGTGCTTAATGTAGTTCATCCAATACCAACAAAGGTATTCTTGTTCATCCTCCGTTCTACTTTTTCTTGTAAGACATTTGGAAAGTAACGATCTTGTCTTATTGAATATTTTTTTTACTTCACATCGATAAGTGGACTGCGGATGTTTATGCAAATTCAAACTTTTGTAGATAAATTTTGGGAAATTGGACATGTAAGCAAGAAACTGATTGTTTTCATCGGTGGCTCTGTGAAGTTTGACATAAATCAGTACGTTTATTAAATATTATTAGAGTCTGTATTTATTCGGTTCTACTTATTCACTTGTATAGGATACTCTAAGGAATGGTAAAAAATAGGTCATTATTTACCATTGTGCGCAGATAGCCCAGACAATCGAGCACTTTCCCTATCTGGCCATAAACAATTTTCATCCGATTATCCGAAACAATAATTTCGCCCAGTAACGTCGGGCGGACCGCCGCCGAAGGGGGTTTCCCCGTTTTCCCCAGCCCGCCAGTCTGCGTCCCTACGGCCGTAGATCGCATGCGGGTGCATGTGCCGGTGGATGTTTACGCCTGCGCGGTAGTTCCCTTTGTCGCCAGACAGCCCGCCGCTACACGGTTGCATCTCGCGGCAGTTCGCAGTCGTCTTCTAAAGCAAGCTCATTAGTCGCCCAGCATTCGGCCGGGACACATTTTCGTGGATCCGGCGCTCGTTGCTCACGCAGACACCTTCAAGCCACGCTCTCGACACCTGTCTCTATTTACCATTCTCTCTCTCTCTCTGTCACACCCCCAGTTCGCAATCAGCACCGAAGAACACTATTCGTACGAACACAAAGAAAAAGAAAAGAAAAGTTAAAAGTGAATATACAGTTCGCCTCCTCCCGCCACGCAGAGACGTTCTGCCCGCAATAGGGGATGCAACTGAACTCGATGGGCTCCCGTGCACGTGCTGGCTGACTCTCTAGGAGCGTCGAACTTGTTACGACCACGCGCTCTCTCCCTCTCCCACTTTCACCCTGTCTCCGTACCTCGTCGCACGGAAACCCCCGTGTGATTCATCGCCGAGAGCATCCCAACCGCCACGAGTTTCCTCGTACCGCACGGGGAATGACTTCCGTCCGGTTCGCGTAAACATTCCATCGTTCCCCCACGTAAGAAGCCAATGGTCGAGTGTGGGGGTGGTATCGTCGAGGTTCAATCCTGAAGGAACATTTCGCTTCTGGCTGTGGTTCGAGTGGTGGTCTCTAGGAAAACCAGTCCAAGTAAGTCGGAGAGGCTAGACGGGCAGGTCGACGGAGAGGTCGTCGACACGACGACGCGACGACGTTCACGGGAAGCAAGAGAAAGAACGGTAGAGGATAAGTACATTGGTATAACCTGTGAATCCTCGGCCCATGGTCGAAACCACATCGATCCAACGGTTCGCGATCAAGTTCCCCATGCTGCAGCCACCGTCTCCTCTGTTGGATATGGCGTCCCTGCGTCTGCCTGACTCCGAGGAATTCGACGTCGATCCACGTCGTAGAAGCAACAACGGAAACGTGCCGCCCACGACAATCGCGGCCGTGCCACCGGCCACTGGTGGAACGCTTCTCCAGATGAGGAACGACCTCGGGACCTATCTGAACAACTTGATCGCGGAGGCGATCACCGTGAATCCCCGAACAACGATGGAGGAGCACGGCGGGCTGTTGAACGCTAGCAAAACGGTCACGAATCTGTCCACCGCCGCCGAGCAGATTCCCGATCGATTTTACAGGCACAGCATGGCGATGTCCGCGGTGTATTGTGTAGCCTATGTGCTGGTCTTCGTGGTCGGTCTGATCGGGAACAGTTTCGTCATCGCGGTCGTGTACCGGTCGCCCCGTATGAGGACTGTCACGAACTTCTTCATCGTCAATCTCGCGGTCGCCGATGTCCTCGTCATCGTGTTCTGCTTGCCTGCTACCCTGATGAGCAACATCTTTGTTCGTGAGTACCGATCCCTAACTTTTATCGAAAGTGTGATAACATCTCTTTATAAATCTCCTACAAACACTTCCTTGAAGTGCTTAACGATCATCATCTAGGACGTATCTTATATACCTAAAAGAATATATTCCAGAATTTTTTTTATGACTCCAGCAATCAAGAGTCTCTCTAAATCAAAGTCCTCTAACGTTGTAGCTCTCCCTGTACAGGGTTTCCATGGCTGTAGTTCGAGGGTTGCCCGGTACGAAAACGGTGTTCAGCCGATTGAATCGATCGCAGCGTATTGATCATACGTGGGGGAGTGGGGTACGGCTGAAAATGGGGGGAACAGGGGTTAGGAAAACGCGAAAATTGGATCGAAGACGATTAAACGGGCTGCCGGAGCGCTAGGTGCGGGGTTCCGTTCGATTTGTCGTTACAGGGCCTCTCTCTCTCTCTCTTCGGTTCCAGAGTCCTCGGCCGACCTCGAAGGGAGGTCGGTGGCGGCAGGGCTTGGAGGGGCTCCCTTAGTACTACGGAATCGATCCTTTCGGCGCGGCGGCTCTTTCTTTCTCTCTCTCTCTCTCTCTCTCTCTCTCTCTCTCTCTCTCTCTCTCTCTCACCCCCCCCCCAACGGCCCGCTCGGTGTTCATGCTCGATGCACCGCGGCCGCGATCCCGTTTTCAGGGGCCGACAGCTTCATCTCGGGTAACTGCGGATAAATTATTCGATAATGGCATCGCGTGATATGTCCCGGACAAAGTGCAAAGAGGCCCCTATCCATCTTTCGGATTCTTTTCAATTTCTGAATACGATTCAGCCCTCGTTCGAAGTCGATTTCGGTGGGGCTTGAATCGATCGTTGACGGAAAAATTTTGTTGTCGATACCGGAGCTACTGAGAATTAATGTACACCTGTTTTTTTTTTTCATCAGATCGGTAAAAACGACAGTTTTACGAGATTATCGAGATTTGTAAGTTAGTTAATTGCTTTATTTTATATTGTAATAAAAGTCGCGAGAAACCTCGTGAAATACAGTAGTATAATATTTTAATCGCATTTACGAGAGTCTATGGTTTTAGTACGTATTCATTTACTAGTGTATTTACACTAATTCAAGTGTTAATTCTGAACTATAGTTTTTCACGTTTACACCTGTCTAATATTAATTTATTAGTAAGCTTCCTGAACAAAGTTTCACAACTAGGAAAGTAATATACATAATGTGTATGGGTAAGAAGTAAACTACTAACAAGTCCCATGCATAATGTATTCATATAGAAATACGAAGAAGCAGTATGTAATTTAATTCAACGGTATTTAACAGTTTACTACAACAGTCGTATCGTTTCTGACTAAAGATAACGCGACAATGTCAACAGAAGAGTTTCAAGCTTCTTCCTAATATGAAATTAATATAAAAAATTCTATACCACATTTCGAACATCCATTAGAAATCAGTTTCTAAACTCTCGTGATAAATTAATATTCCACACTTCATAGAACTTTCTTCAAAAGTCTCGTCGCAAAGTTATAATCGAATTAGTAACTCCTTAAAATAAAAGAAAAACTTCTCCATCACACTGAAAGAAACCGAAAGTTCAGTAATCCATATAAATATACTTCTCTGAAACACATTTCTGTCGTGTGCTCTTTTATCGTGAAAGATCCATCGAAAAGTATTTCTCGATCGTAGTTAGCGATCGGTCGTGACACCGTCGGAAACGCTAATTTCATTTCATTGTCAACAGAAAAGAGACTACAATAATCTTGTAGATGTAAATGGGCAATTCAACGACGATTAATTAAATGGGTCAGTTAATTCCGCTAATACCAAGAGATAACAAGGTGCATGGGTGCACAAATATGAATTTGTCGCTGGGAGGACGGGCAATTAAGCAGAGATCGTTACGTGTGCAACGCGTATATTCGATGTAACGTCGATCTAATTACGATCACGAAACATTTGTAGTCTCCTGAGCCTGCTCGAAGGTCGCTCGATGTGTGATTGTAAACGGCACCTTTACGACGCTTTTTGTTTCTTCGTCAGTAGCTTTATCGTCTGTCACGAATTGCCTAACTGTTCGGGTTCGTCGGGATTTACGAGCATCTAATGGGTTCATCTTCTTCATCGATAACTTTTTTTTGTTGTTGTTGTGGACACAACCGACAATTTCACTTTCATAGTACCATTTCGTATCACGAATATAGGGTCATTCTGGGTTTGTTTGACGTTATTCGATATAATGGGTTCATTTCGCTTCTTATATCAAGCGACGATAAAACGCCTTTGTCGTATGAATCATGTCGTATGAAAAATTTAATACACTTCCCTAAAAATGTACTCAAAGTGTCGGAGAATTAAATTACTTTTTGTACACATAAGTTACGAGCGAGAAATTTTAGAGGCTCAACGTCATTATTTATACAGGGTGAAATATCTCTTGAATTTGAAATCATCGGAAAATGTGTAGGTCAAGGACGATGGTGCTGAACAGAGATCTCTTCTTCCAAGGTCATGTCTCCCAGAGATGTCAAGGTCGTTAATATATTTCTAAATATTTCTCTGTCTTTATCGTCGCATAGTAGAGCAGATATTAAGATGAATTTAGAAAAAAAATGCAATTCTTCTTATTATTATGTGAAGAGGCTTAAAATACTTTTTAGATTGCTGATTTTTCCATTTCGACGATATAAAATATAAAAACTTGTATAATGTAAATATCTCTTAAGAACATTGGAAACAAATATCATTCGAGTTACTTCTGTCACTTTTCATTCACATCCATCAAAAATATACTTACGTCAGCTATGTACTTTCACTCATCCTTCCATACGATTACCCCGTTTCATAGATCAAGCAACATCAACAAAGATTTATTGATATATCCAATGGAAGCACAATTCGCGTCGATCGTTTTTATATACTATTCTTAGCCCCATGATCATTTCTCTTTCTCCCTCGTTTTTCTGCTGTTTCGACGATCGGTTTATCGCAAGATCGTTTTGCTTTTAACGAACGATCTATTCGTTCGTCTCGACTGGAATCAGGAAACGGTGACCGTAATTGCACCGAGAGAACACAGAATGCAACCGTGAATCTCCAGACTCCCGTCGAGCGGCCAATTGTCAGGCCCCGGGTCGCATGACTAACGACGTCATTAACACGCACTCGCGCACGTTTACGTTTTTCGTAAAGAGCGCCAAGTGGCTCAGACTCGTCTAGTGCCCACGAGGCTCATTCCGTATGCAAAATGCGGCCGGCGGCGGTGCTGCGTTCCCGTTTTGAAAAAATGTTAGAATTTCTTCGGTCTGTCTTAATCGTGACACTTTGAAACTCAGTGGAACCTTGAAAATTCGGACTGGACATGTGATATACATAATGTAAATATTTTAACGAAGCAGTTTTATTATATGGAGTAAAAGGAGTGTAATATAGGATGTATACGTATGCAGAACAGTATTTTTCATGTTTAGAGGTATGCAAATACTAGTGTACCAATGAGAAATCCACCATTCATATGCTGAACTCAGAATACACTTTTAAGAGAACAATAAACTTGTGCTACATCAATAACATTCGTCCTTGGTCTCAGCAACCTTACATCGTCTTACCAAGCAGAAAATCGTAAAGGTACTTTGTATTTGCCTTAAATCATCGGTTCACTAAAAAAGACAGAGAATTTTCCATTGACATATACAATAAATCTTACAATTTATCTTGAAAAGATTTTCGATCCCATGATTAACTACATACCTCCTGAGCTGTTAAGTAAGAGGGAAAATTAAAATATGTTTTATATATACTAAGGTTATAACATAAAACAAGATGTCAAATACAAAGAAATGTTTTACTTTCCCCTCCTATTTAACAGCTCAAAGATATGCAACCCCTTAAATTCGATAATACAATGTTGAGTCTAGTGGTTGGAAAGTGACTTTGACCTTACACGAAGACTTAATCCACCACCCTGTGGTTAAAAGGTGAAGTCGATTAATGGTTTCGAAGTTTGGTGGAAGCGACAGGATCGTCCAGTTTTTCGTGGCTGGATCAGTCTTTGGCTTTGTTCGCTTAATTACCGAAAGGGGAATCTCCATCGGCGCGTCATTGTTCCACGGTACATAATGCCATTGTTTCCACGAAGCTGGATTATCCGGTGACATTGGATAACGTAGGGTCCCACTTTTCATGTGTTTGCTCCGGGAACGAAACCGGAAGCCTATAACAAAATTGAAGTCGTTGTCGCGCCGACATGGTTGTTTTTACGACGGTGTACGGCAGGGAAAGGAATTTCGGTCCCCGTTGAGTGATTGGCGGAAAGAAGTTTTCCCTCTCGTTCGGGATCACTTTTGCGTCGGGAATTGCGAGTGGTGTTTTTCTTCCTTTAATTTACTGTTTGGCGAGGTTCCATTTAGCGAAAGTGTTGGTCGAACTGTTAATCAAATAAATTTATACTATTTTTGAAAATACACTAACGGCCACGATCACTGAAATGATATGATATAATTACAGGGAGGATTTTGGTGATTCATATTTACAGCATGTTTAACTAGTAATTGAACTTTGGAATTTATTTTGGATAAACTTCCGGAAAGTACCCACAACGGATAACTCTGACCTTGACATATATCAAGATCACCCTTCCGAGTAACCTTCAAAAGGTTTGAACTGACGATCATTAGTTAAGAAGTTATAATCAAGAAAATGCTTGAACTGTCTCTAACCAGTATAATGATTCAAAGTTGATTAGAAACTTTTTCCGGTGCTGAATAAAATGTACTGAAATACAATTTCAACTACAATGATTTTGTAGTACGAAATTGTTACGAGTCTAATTGATCGTGCTAAAATTAGTTCAGTGTTACACGTAGATTTTCAATTGAGTTGCCCTCGCAACAAATAGAATGCAATCTGTCGTAATTTATTTCTGAAACAGGTTTCGGTAATTCTTCAGGGCGAACAAGACGACATCCTTATTAATCAAAGTCACCTTCACGGTCGGTTATCGCTTATCTTCCGG